GGCGATAGAGAAGGCGGCTCAGGCACCTGAGAAAACCACCAAGACGGGCGACAGAGGGCTCGACGGGTTGGTGGAGGACCAAACTGAGCTTGAGGCAGTGAAGGTGGTGGTGCACGAGCCCTCTGGAGCGTTGGCTCGGCTCGAAGAAGCCCTGGCGAGAGTGCAGGCTGACGCGAAGGCGGATGTAGATGACCTTCGCCAGAGGCTGGAGGACTTGATGTGAGTGGTTGCTTCGCTGCAGGCAAAAGGGAATGGAGCAGGGGGTATGCCGAACCCGACCGAGCTGGCGGTAGACAGTGGCGGCGCTCTTGGCGCGGCTGGCGGAGGAACCACCACCGTGAGACCGTTCCCGAGAGATGCGGAGGCGGCGGCAAACATGGTAAGGGGCTGCGGGTCGTCCGCGACAAAGGCAACGGAGGCGCAGGCAGGCGCGGTGGCGCGTGGGCGTCGTCGTGGGTCGGGACTGTTGCCGACCCCGTTGGCCCAAGAAATCGCGGCCATGAAAGGCAAGGCAAAGATGCCTAGGTATGATGATCTGGCCCCCCAGCTGAATTTCGGCCCGCACGAATCCATGGGCCAAGGCAGGGAACCCAATGGGTTGGGGTGGATGAGCCTGGAAGAGGAAGAGGAGCTGGGCCTGGATCGGCATGCCCGGAATTGGCCCGAAACCGGAAGAGGGCCGATGGGGCGGGGCGCGGCCAGGGGGTCGGACCGACCACCCAGATGTGGGCTGGGCCAAGGAGGGCTGACCGGGGAGGGACAAATCGGTTCGGGTGGACCAGAGTGGGCTGGCCCGGGTGGGGACGAACTGGGTCGAACTGGGTCAAACCGAGTCGGGTCGACCAGAGTGGACTGGTCCGGGTGGGGTTGAACCGGGACGAACCAGCGGGCTGAACAGGTCGGACACACTTATGGGTGGGCGATCGGGAATCGGGAACCCGAAGGGATCTCGGCAGGGGTTCGGGACCCTCTTACCCGTCAGTTCATGGTCCTCATTCACCGGCAGGGCAGAGGGATGCGAGTCAGGCACAGAAGGTTGGACCGGACGAGTATGCGGAGTACCCGTTCTAGGAAGAAGAGGAGTGGGGCCGAAGCAGAGGACCGCAGGGTTATCACGACCGAGTTCCAGGGTACGACATGTATGACAGCTATCCTCGCGGTTTTGATGGCGATCTGGTGTTTAGGGCCAAACCGCCTACCATTGAGTTTCCAAAATTCAATGGTCAGGAGGATGTAGGCCTATGGTTGTATACAGCTGACAGGTGGTTCAAAAATCACCCCACCAAGGAAGAATGGAAGGCGCATCTGGCGTCCTTCTACCTAGAGGGAGACGCGCTACAGTGGTGGGAGTGGCTGGAGCGATCATGCGCAGCTGTGCAGACCTTGGTCACATGGCCCTTGTTAAAGGAAGAGCCGCGATATCAGTTTGGCAAATCAGAAGGATGGGCGCCGGAGCAACTAGCTAAGCTGCGCTAGATCGGGATAGTAGCGGAGTACAAGGAGGAGTTCTTCAAACTGGGCAATCAATTCAAGGGGGTGCCGGAGGAGAACCTAGTTGGGTTGTGTATGGCTGGTTTAATACCAGAGATAGCCGCGGCGGTTAAGGTTTTCGAGCCCGACTTGCTGCGGTCTGCTTTTCGTCTTGCAGGTTATAAGGAGGAGGAGTTGGCCAGCTGAAGGAATACGATTGGGCGGTTCCAAAAGACAAGCTGGAGTGGAGGAGGTGGCATTGGATCAGGCAGTGGAGGGGCGAGTGCGCCCATCAACACCGGGCTGTCGCCAGCTGGCGCAGTCGTCTTGAGTCAGCAACCCCCTAGGCCACCCCCAAAAAGGTTGCTGAGGCTTTCACCACAAGAAATCGAGCAAAAGAGGAGGGAGAGAAAGTGTTTCAATTGTGACGAGAGGTTCACCGTGGGACACAAGTGCTCCAAGCCCGATTTAATGATGCTGCTGGGATGTTGGGAAGATGAAGCAGGGGAGGAAGCAACCGAAGAAGGGCCTCCAGAGTTGGAGTGAGAACAACAACCTTAAGGACAAGGTTGTTTTCCAAGGAGGCGGGGATGTTAGAAACACATTAATTTCAGTTTTTGGTCATTTCGTATTATTGTCGGTTTTTGGTAATTGGGGGATTATTTGGGGTATTTGGGAAATAAACAAGGAATCGATTGTCACGTTTTATTAGTTGGGTAGAAGATAGGGATTATGCAGACTATATAATATGTAGTACTGGTCTTGTTTTCATTAAGCAATTACATATAAAAAACCTAAAACCTAATCTCTCTCTCTCTCTATCCCTCATCCCTATGTCCTTTCCCCGCTCCCTTCCCTCTCCCAAAAGCTGCGGCAGTAGCACCCTTCTTCCCCTTTCCTCTGTTCTAAATTCCCAAATCCAATCCCTAGCTAGATCAATCCCTAATTGATCTAGTTAAAATCCCCAATCCCAAACCCGTTAAAAACCTTGTTTCTAATAGATTGCTGAGATTGATAAACAAAGGTTGAGTGAGCCTGTGACCGATCAGGAGGTTAATTGGGACTTTTTGAGATGGATGCTACTAAAGCACCTGGCCCTAATGGTTGGATAGCTGGATTCTATCATAAACGCTGGGGTATTATTAGCTCTGATAATATTAAGGGAGTTCGTCAATTCTTCTGTGATTTACGACTCCCGCGAGGTATGAACTCTGCTTCCTTAAAATTGGTACCAAAAACCTATAATGCTGATAGACTCGTTGCATTTAGGCCAATAGCTTGTATCAATATTCTCTATAAAATACTTTAAGGTACTAGCTAATAGGCTGAAATATGTTTTACCCTTATTAATTAGTAAACATCAGTCCACTTTCATATAAGGGAAGAGTATCCTCAAGAACATTCTCTTGGCACAAGAGATTGTGCAGAATTACAATCGAAAATCTATTTCTTCTAGTTATGTAGTGAAGGTGGATCTTAAGAAAGCCTTAGACTCTGTGAATTTGAACTATTTGCTTTGTGTGATGGATAAAATGTGCTTCCATGATATTTTTATCAAATGAATTTCTCTTTGTCTTAATTCTGCATTGACTCGGTCTGACTATCACAATAAAATCCCATCTAAGGTCCAAGTATAAACCTTAGATGGGTGCAATATAGGGTAAGTATGTTTAAATATCAACCCGGGCCGACCCATGTACCACTAATTCGATTGTTTGAAACATTATCTAGTGAATGGTTTTGGTGAAAATAAAGATCTAAAGCTAAAGTACTTTGCAAAGAGAAATGGTTTTGACACCAATTGAGAAGGCTTCACCCGGGTGTTTTTCCCCCCACGTAACAATTACGACTTGATGGATTGAATGCCCGTGTGTGGTGAGGGAGTTGTAAACCGCAGGGAAGTCTAACAAGTAGCCAAAGCTACCCTCTTAGTTTCTAGATCAAAGAAATGGGATACGATCCAAGGCACTAATGCAACTCTCTCAATCTATTGACTAAGGATTGGTTAGACTTCACCCTCGAATTGGAGTTCGGACGGCCACCCACAATCAAACCCTAAGTGCTAATACAAAATAGGAGGTTAGTCATACTCACTCCTGGGGATGCAATATTTGCTTCAATGGTGAGAAATCCACTCCAAATAGCTCCTAGGGTTTGTTCTTCGCACTTTCTCTCTCTAAAGATCTGTTTTTTGCTCAAAAACTCGATTCTCTCTCCTTTGGCTCGAATCTGCCTCAAAAACCCGATTCTGGGCAAAATACGGGCTGAATTACGGTCGTAAACATGGATTGCTCGTATTTCACCCAAAACGCGCGTTTCACTTAACACTGATGAGAGGAATTACAGTCGTAATTACCCAATTACTGCCAGTATTTGTGGAATTACGACCGTAGTTCATTTTTCTCTTGCCCATAATTTGATCTTCGAAGGCATTCTCAGGGATTTGGCTCGGCATTGCATTTACGATAAGGGCAGAGGCAATTACTCCCGTAATTGAGCAGGGGATGCCCGTATTTCTTCCTCCGCTCCTGTTTAATGTTTCGTTTCTCCCTCGTCCGGACTCCAAATCAGTCGCCGTTTGATCCTAGACGCTCGTAGTCTCGTCCTCTTTCTTTTCATGACAAACTTCCATGATTACTTGTCCATAATATGAGGTAGCAGTACATTATTCCTTAGTTCATGCTCGTGTTTCTTCTCCCGAATTGCCAAATGAATTCCGATTGACTTGAAACTTACGCCTTTGCTTCAATTTACATGACAGGACCTGAAATAAGACAAAAAAACACAACCTAGCATAAAATAGGAAAAGGAACCACAAATTCGAGCTAAAATGGTTAGGAAACAAGAGTGCAACCATGTGCAAATACGGTGCTATCAGTAAGTTAGGGGTAGAACAATGTTACCACTTTTCTTGGTGCGTGAAAGTTGGAATTTTTCTGGGGTAGGAGATTGGAGCTTCAAGGAGAAGACAAAAACACACACACAAACACAACACATACTCGCTCGAGGCAAGGTTATTACACAAAACAATACGATAGTAGTAGTTGGTCACACATACCAAATAAAAGAAAGAAAAATAAAATAAAAGAGTTCAGAGGTCCAAGTGGAGAAGTGGGGTAAAAGGAATCGGTTCTGCCACATGTCTCACTCGTTGGCTACCTCTCACTAAGTCGAAGGCCCCATATCATCATCTTGAAGTAGGCCTTGGCGACGAGCAATCCGCTCAAGTTGGTCGGTGTGCCGGTCGAGCCGAGAAGTGACTCCAACAACATAGGTCTCAAGATGGTCCATCCTCTCCACGAGGTGCACCCCAGAAGTGGAAGGACCGACACCTGATGGTGCTGCTACTGCTACTGGTGGTGGGCAGGGCGCTAGAGCGGGAGGCAACTAGGTGGCTACTCTGGAGGTGGGACCACTAGTGGTAGAGGTAGTCCCTCAATGAACCTAAATTGTCCAAATGATCACATCAAACGCATGGAAAAAAAAGTGCCCTTTTTAAACTTCGTGGAGTGCCCCTCATATGTGTAGATCGCCAGACTGACATTCAAGTGACGAGCGAGACGGGTAATGTAGGGCCCCATTGATGTGATATACCGCCTCTTTCCCTATGGCTCTGGCAAAAGAAGAGGCCAAGACTGAACGAAGATGAAGATTGCTAGACGGATCCACCATGCAAGCAAACGCCAACAAGATCCTCTCGGTTGTATTGTTTGGATTGTGATAGCTCGAGTACAGGGAACGGGCAAGAGGTGCATTGATGATGCGCCACTGTGGCTTGAGTGTGGACGCCAATGTGAGCCGATTGAAACGGTGTTCGTCGGTGCTCTGGGAGGTAAAATCTTTGAAATGTTGCGTTCCTGTCGCAAACTTTGATGGCGTCCTCTTCCGATTCTACCTCACTCCAGTCATCAACTCCCAAGGATCGGGCAAACTCGTCAAAAGTCAGGGTGTGTCATTCCCCTCCCAAGTGGAATTTCACCTTGCGCCTTCAATCGCCGAGCGTGCTCCTACTCGTAAGGATGGTGAAGGTACTGAAGAACTTGTCACACAACTCCTCATAAATGTCATCCTCCATTTCAAGGAGTCGGCACCAATGTGGTATCTCCATAGTGAAGACCATCGAATTGAGTGAAGTCGAGTTTCCTTTGTTCTCCAGAGTTAGTGCTTGCCCAGAATCTCACCTCCCTTTCCATTTTGGGCTTCCCTCTCAGCGCCAAAGGTATGGGTGGTTCATGCTGACTTTCCTGCAAAATCGACAAACATGCACCGTACGGGGAAATAATTGTTAATCTCCACTCATTGGGAGGAAAAAAGAATTCCCCCACACTTACGTTTCCAATATGGGTTCATGCTATTTGAAATAATTAAGCTCAAGCACACCGAGTCATGGTTCTGGGTATTTGACTCGCTGTGACTATCACAATAAAATCCCACCTAAGTTCCAAGTATAAACCTTAGATGGATGCAATATAGGGCAAGTATGTTTAAATATCAACCCGGGTCTGCCCATGTACCGCTACTTCGATTGTTTGAAACATTATCTAACGAATGGTTTTGGTGAAAACAAAGATCTAAAACTAAAGTATTTTGCAAAGTGAAATGGTTTTGACACTAATTGAGAAGGCTTCACCTGGGTGTTGCTCCCCCCTAGCTAACAATTACGACTTGATGGATAGAATGCTCGTGTGTGGTGAGTGGGTTGTAAACCGCAGGTAAGTCTAACAAGTAGCCTAAGCTACCCTCTTAGTTTCTAGGTCGAGGAAATTGGATACGATCCAAGGCACTAATGCAACTCTCTCAACCTATTGAAAAAGGATTGGTTAGACTTCAGCCTCGAATTGGAGTTCGGACAGCCACCCACAACCAAACCCTAAGTGCTAATAGGAAATAGGATGTTTGCCCTGCATTAACCTAACTAGGAGGCAATGAATTACCCAAGATAACCCAGCATTCAAGCCTCTTTCAACGAAAGGAGGGGGGGGGGGGGTTATATCTACCTAGGTTAGAATGTAAATTAGATTGATAGGCTTTCACACAACACAATCATTCATGACCAGCATTCACATAATTGGTGCTAGGGTTTACAAACACCCAAGTGAAAGAAGGCACTACTCCATGCTAGGAGAAGGGAAAATACAAGGGAGAACAAGGAAAACCATCAAAAAGATGCTAGCCTTGCTCTTTGTGCTGAAGAGATCCTCCTTTGGGGGAGGAATTCCCAAATCCTTGCTTGGAGATGAAACCATAGCTTATCCTCTTCTTTGGTTCGTCACTTTCTCAATCTAAAAATATGAAGAAGAAGAAGAAGTTTCTCAAACCAGGTCTCTCCCCTTCTTCTTCTTCCTTTCAGCTAGCTCTTTATACTGAGATCTTGCCCACTTCATGGCCCAAGTTCACGGCTGTGAACATCAAAATGCGTCCGTGAAGACAGTGTGTTGAACCAAAACAATTCGCTTCACTTCTTGGGTTCACGGTTTGTGGTTGCAGTTCACGGTCTTAGCGACCGTGAACAGCCTTGGCGTCAGTTACCTTAGAAACCCCTCTGGACGCTTCTTGGTTCACGTTGTGGTTCCAGTTCACGATTCTGGCGACCGTGAACTCTAATAGTAGACCATGAACACAGGCTGATTCCTTCTCTTTGCCTGGTCTTTGATCCTTTTCTTTAAACTTTCTAATCCAGGGTTGGTTTCACCTATTAGAATCGAAAACACACTGAAACACAAGAAACCTAGCATAAAACTACCCCTTTTGGAGCTCAATTGCAACAAACGTTAAAGACAAACGGGGATAAAAAGTGTACAATTATGCCCGAATCATGCATGCTTTAGTATAACGATGAATGGGAGTTTATTTTGGGTCTTTGAAGCAGTTAAGGGGGTTAGGCAGGGAGATCTACTTTCTCCCTATCTTTTCACCATTACTGTGGAACCTCTTACGAGTTTACTGAATAGAGCAGCTTCGTGTAGGGAAATTCCCTTTCATCCGCAGTGTAAATATATTGGTCTTACTCATCTCAATTTCACAGATGATCTCACAAATATAAGTTGAATGCTCTGTCTTCATCTGCCTTTAAGGAAGGTACTCTACCAGTGTAGTATCTGGGTTTTCCTTTTCTTGCATGTAAGTTTATGAGTGCGGAATGCACAGTGCTGGAATGTGGCTTGTTTGGATTGTTTGCTTTGGCTTCTTCTTATGCAGGGTGGTAGTTTCTGGGTGGCCTAGTGCTTGCGATAGAGGTTGAGAAGGGCCTCAATCTGGAATGTCAAATCTACTTCCTCTGGGTCTTGGATATGGCGGCAATTGATGAAGCTGAGACTCGGGTTCAAATTCAGAATGGATCTTGATGCTACTGGATGTGTGATTTGGCTGGGAAAGAAATTGCCAAAGTTTTATGTTTCAACTATTTGGGAAGTTATCATAATCAATAAACCTAAGCTACGTTGGTGGAGGATTCTTTGGTGCAAATTTTTTCTTCCAAGGAATCGTTTTATCACATGGATGGTTATCCTGGATCGTATTAAGACAAGAGATAAACTCAAAGCCTGGGGTGTTACCGTTGATGTTGGATTTGTGCTATGTAATAAGACTGATGAGCCAAGGCAACACTTGTTTTGTGAATGTGAATATTCCTTTGCTTTTATTTATGCTATTATGAGATCTCAGGTTTCTCTGCAACCTTGTTGGGATGATATGCTAGAATTGATGTGTAGAAAATCTTCTCATGGAGGTAATGAGTCTTTGATTGCTTATGCTTTGTGATGCTGGAGGATAAGCTGGATATGGAAATAACAATGTCCATGCTGCTTTGGCGAGACTCCACGGGATCTAGAGGTTTTGACAGAATTACTCAGAAAGGAGATGAAACTCTTTGACTGCGGGCCATGCTGGTTTTTTTCTAAGATTTTGAAGAATTCCAGGTATAGCTTAGATTTTTCTTTTTTGTTTTTTGTTTTTCCTGTTTGCTGTTTTCCAGGATGACTGTGGGCTTTTGCCTAGTGTATTTTTAGACTCTTTTGCTTATTGGCAAAGATTGAGCTTCAATGGTGACTTCTAATTACTGGAAAGCAATTTCTCTCAATACATGAAAAAGTAAAGGATAGGGCGCAATTAATGTGCAATCTCACACCTAGGAGAAGGTTCGAACAATATAAGGGTAGAAGCTCGATTAAAATTCAGGTAATTACCTCATTGATACGAAGAAAACACTCAAGAAATTGGAGTCCACAAACTCACAAGATCAAATTCACGAGTAAAAACTCAATGAACAAAAAGAGGTTGTCTATTCAACATAATCTCTCCAAAATTTGTGTCTTACAACCGTTTATATTGGTCTGGGAAATAAAACTAATGAAAACATTGAAAAGGAAAAAGAATCTTAAACGAAAAAGGAAGTTTAAGTCTCAATCCACGGTGAGGGATTATTTTCTCTTGACCGGGGTTCCTTTTGATCCCAATCCCCTATCGTGAACCTCAAATCCCCTCTAGGTGATTTTAATCCACAGGATAGGGGATTTTTCCTGATCACCATATGATTTTTAGGCTGCTCGTTTGGTGTAAAGGAAGCTTCAATCTTCTCACCCAGCTCCTTCATGACCTTTAATTAGACTTATATATAATTTGATATCCAAGAGATGGAACGCCGCCCCAGTGCCGCGAAACTGATCACATTCATCTTTACAGATTATTGTTAGTGGTTAGCACGTGTCAACAACTATCCCATCCTAGGGCAAGTTTAACCTAAAATGGCATTGTCGTATGGTGGCAATCAAAGTTGTATTCACTCGGATCCTGGTACCCTAGCCTACTTCCACGTTGTTGTTATCTAGCCGATTGGTTTAAGGGTTTGCGTGGAGGATATGAACGAATTAACTAGTTTAGAGATCAAATAAAGATAAAAGCAGGTACTTCGGGGAACTATCCCTCACCCTAGCCTAGGACTACTATGCAATGTCTAAATACTTAGGGTTTGTGGAATATGGTGAGTGAGCTCTTTTCAGTGGGCCTTCATGGTTATTCACACGTCTCCGAGTACGCCTCTCATAAACCCATGTAAGTCACTTCAATCTAGGCTATCGTATCTGGAGCATTAAGCTTATAGTTCCTTTCAATGGGTACTACCCAGCGTCCACACCGAGGTTTCATCCCGGGTTCTATTTAGGTAGGCATTCCCATGGCAGGGGTGTGGTCTCCTCGACAACCTTAGGATCCTATTCATACATCTAACCTCAAACTGCATGATGGCACATCCCCGTCTCCTCTTCTCCTTCCTTCAACTTCTCTCCCTTCTCTCTCTCTCTCTCTAAAACCAAAAATTCTATCTCAAAATAAGCGAGGAAAGGGTCTTCTATTTATAGGAATTAGAGGACGGAGAAGTTCGCAGGCTGCAAGACAGAGGTCGTGATCTTGCAACGTTGTCGTTTCGGCCTTCAAGGGTGAGGAGTTCGCGGGCTGACTTCGCGGTCGTGGTCCTCAAGTCACGATCGTGAACTTCCTCCCGGTCAGTTTGCATTGTGGTCGTGTTCTGAGTGGGGAAACTCTCTGTTTATCCTCGACTGCTTCTTCACGAAGTTCGCGTCCTGAGCCCTACAATTCGCGGCCGCGATCTTGAGCTTCCACGCTGCGATCTTCACCTTGACTTTGTTGGCCGTGATCTCGGCCGTGATCTCCATATCCAGTCTGCGATCTTCAGTCTTTTGCCCCTTTTTCTACACTTGTGTCCATATTTTGTACCTAATTCACATGTATTGTCTAAAACATCCTAAAATCACATCGCAATCAAGTAGGAACAAAATAGGGATGCAATTTAAGCTGTTCAAACAATTATGTACATGAATTGGCATGAAACAAACCTTAATATGAAGGATAAATAACAATAATTTAGGCGTTATCAAACTCCACCACACTTAGGCGTTTGCTGGTCCCCAAGCAAACCTACTCAAACGATTGCAACATGATAGAAAAAATAATGGGGAATGCACTCTAATTCTTCATTGCACAAAAAAGAGTAGACAGAGATGAATGAACGTTACTATCATCTTACTGTGCAAGCACAAACTCTCGGGTGAGGACCATACTTACTACCTTAGGCCCAACATTCAAGGTGTGCACTAGGAGATTTCTCAAACAACAAATAAGCACAAGAAATCTCGAAGGTGCTCTTTATTCTCTAATTTTATTTTTGGAGCTGTCGTTTATTGGTCTCCGTTTTTGACGTTGACGCGCATTGCACCAAACTTTTGCAAACAAGCATCTCTCCCTCGTGCCAAGACCGGATGAATCATAGCCTCCGCTTTCAAGGTCACATGTGGGGAAGTTGATGGGAGGATCGTGTTAGCCCGAGCGCCACTTCCTAGCGTACACTCCACATTGGGTTGTCACACATGTTGGGTACAAACAAGAGCTTTGAGGTCTCATGAATCGCTAAAAGGTAATTTGGACCTTGGCGTACAATTCCGTGAGGAGGAAAGATGTGTGGGGGATGGTAAGTAATAATAGATGGTCGGGACGCGGTAAAGCTATCTGATCCCAAAAACATATCCTCAAAGGGCACTCTGAATTCGTGAGGATTGGTTGCCTATGAGAACCTCATTTTCAAAGATTTTTCTCTCTTTTCTTTCTTTTCCAATACGCACAAATTTGTAAAAGCTTCGAGTTCACATAACAAACAAAAGAGAATATTGCACACATGTTTTTCCTAAAATAGCAAACATTATCAACTTACAAAAGAGGAAGAGATAGTAAAATCCCTCATACACCGGTACTCTAATCATGCAACTATCACCTAGCGAGCACAAAACATCAATCATCTATAAAATCAAAGCATATTGAGTAGGGAGTTGCAAGGAACAAGGTGTTTTGGAACCCTCAAATTTGAAAAAATTTGAGTAATGCATTCAAGGTTCCAAAACACTATCATTTTACCATTAATCACCACAAGACAAACACAATCGCTAGCATACACTCCCATACGCATTCATCAACGTCTTACATTCACAAACAAGGGAGGATACTAACAATTCATGGTTCAATCCATCATGATAATCATTCAAACATCCACACACAACCCCCCATACTTGAGAAACACATTGTCCTCAATGTGGGAATCTCATAAGAGAAGATCCTGAAGGTTACTAAAGGTTGGGTTGTGGGTTGGTGAATGTACACAAGTGTAGGTCTTTGTCTTCCTGGTGGTTTTCACAACGATAAAGCGCATAAGAAAGAGAGTAAGACGATTAAGATTAAAAGGTACGATAAATATATTATATAAATACTAATACTACTAGTGCTAGAATATTTAAAGTAAAAAACGAAAAACGAAAATAAAGTAGTAGTTCAAGTACTATCCGAAATAAGCAATAAAAATGCGAAACTAGAATCGTTAGAAGTTCAAATTGATAATATAATAGATATATAATGTCCCTTCGATGCCATCAATCACTCAATCTAGTCTTCAGCCTCGTCTTTGTCTGTCTCAACCTCTTCTTCCTCCCCAACATCACTTTACAGTCGTGGGGAAGGAGTGCGCTCGTAGGAAGTGCGGTCTGCAGCTGGATCCAGATTGTGGCGCCCCAACAGCGCGTGAGTGCAGCCAAGTATGTGTGATCTCCAGTTTGCCTCTATCCTATGGTTCCTCAACTTTTGCTTCAGATGTGGGCAAGTTGGCCATTCTTTTCATGCTTGCTTTTCGAAGCACCAACTGGGAAAGGAAGATTTGGACCCCATATGTACACCAAATCCTTAGAAGATAAAATCTATGGCGAAGAAGATGACCAAGGTGAGTTCAAGGGGTATTCTAAAGGTACGATAAATATATTATATAAATACTAATACTACTAGTGCTAGAATATTTAAAGTAAAAAAAAGAAAAAAGAAAATAAAGTATTAGTTCAAGTACTATCCGAAATAAGCAAGAAAAATGCGAAACTAGAATCGTTAGAAGTTCAAATTGATAATATAATAGATATATAATGTCCCTTCGATGCCATCAATCACTCAATCTAGTCCTCAGCCTCGTCTTTGTCTGCCTCAACCTCTTCTTCCTCCCCAACATCACTTTACGGTCGTGGGGAAGGAGTGTGCTCGTAGGAAGTGTGGTTTGCAGCTGGATCCAGATTGTGGCGCCCAACAGCGCGTGAGTGCAGCCAAGTATGTGTGATCTCCAGTTAGTTTCTATCCTATGGTTCCTCAACTTTTGCTTCAGATGTGGGAAAGTTGGCCATTCTTTTCATGCTTGCTTTTCGAAGCACCAACTGGGAAAGTAAGATTTGGACCCCATATGTACACCAAATCCTTAGAAGATAAAATCTATGGTGAAGAAGATGACCAAGGTGCGATCAAGGGGTATTCTAAATATGTGTGGCATAACCAGGACCAAGCAGGCAAGGAAATTGTTGCCTCAAGACTTGCCCGTCCTAGGGAGGATCAGCTGGAGAAGACTATGGTGGACAGAAATAGTACTCCCTCAAAGCGTCTGGCATTTGAGGACTCGCTCTACAAAGTTGCACCTACAGAGAACATAAAATAGGGAAGAAAAAGCCCTCAAGGTTTCGTGGTCACTAAATCTCTTAAATTGCAGATTGCTTATGGCAAGGGGAAAGGGATGTAACGAAGGCCTCGAAATGAAGTACGAAACAAGAGAAATTGTGAGGTAACTCGTTCCCAAGGAGGTGAAAAGTGGGTTCCATTGGGAAGGAATCAGCAGGTGGCGAGTTCGTCTGCTAGGCCTAGAAGCTCTGATGATAGGAGGCAGCAGCCTATGTGGCCAAGTAGGACTAATCCGGACGAAGCTCAGCATCTATAGAGGAAAATTCGAGGCCATAAAATGCATAAGAGGCTTGATTGAAAGGATGGGGCACCAGAAGAGCAATAGCTGAATAGCCGAATGGCTAATGAAGGACGAAGGAAGATGAAAGACTCAGGCCGCCCCATTACTGGGGCGAGTAAGAGGAGATAGTGCATGGAAGAGGATCGAGGGAGTATGCTCCCAAAACCAAATATAGTCAAGCAATCGACTAGGAAGATGAAGCGGGCATATCCCGCTAGGGAGGTGAGCTTGGAGCAACAGTTAGATATGGAGGAGCCTGCTGCATACTTTAATGTCGACATAGGTGCTCTCCTTTCCTCCCCATTCTCACATCAGATTGAAGATGATCCACTGATTCAGCATGGATTGAACTCGGAGGACACTATTCTAGAGATTGGTGAGGATAACCCTTTCCCTGAATCTGGCGGGAACCAGTTTGAGTTAAAGAGCAGGAAAACATCGCAGTAGTTGGAGCCCATCGGGCTGCATGGTGGAGGAAAAGTTCGTAAGGCATTCAAATCCCTTGAAAAGGGGATCAATAAGGGAGGAGTGAAGGTGAGGAAATCTCCCAGTGCGTGAATGACTCAAGGGGGTGGTCTGTATGAACTACTAAAGGTGTATGAGTATGGGTTGAATTTGACTTAGCCGGTTTTGGGTGATCGGAAGAGAACCCTACTCGAAGTAGGTGGTGATCAGACAGATGATCCGTCCCCAAAGAGGCAGTTTGCCGAGGAGGAGTTTGGTGCTGATATGGTGGAGGAAGCCAACCAAAAGTGGCCCCAGGCGGATAAATGAGAGTCTTGGCCTGGAATGTGAGAGGAATCGGAACAAGAACGAAAAAGATGGTGAAAACTCTTGGAACATTGGTTGTTCTTTGGCTCTTCTAGATTTTGTCTAAAATCCGGGCCTCCATGATCATGGGTATCAGGAATACCAGTTTACATGGACAAAACAAGAGAATGGGTAGGGCGTGTATTCGTGAGGGACTAGACCGAGCCCTTTGCTCTCAAGCTTGGGTCGATCACTTCCCGAATACTCTGGTGAATCACTTCACAGATCAAGGATTAGATCACCGAGCCTTGTTGCTGTCAGATAAACCATACACACGTAATAACCGTTCGTTATTCCAATTTGATGATTGTTGGGCAGGTAACCCAGAGGTAAGGACGATGGTTACTAACGTCTAGAATGAATCGATCCACGGGTCTTCAATGTAGAGGCCCTAGGTGCGCCTAAAACGTCTCTATCATCTCTTGTACGACTAGAGTAGAGCAAGAACGAAGAATTCCTTGCGGAATATAAGAACCCTCCAGGAAGAGATCGACCGAGAGAAGTAGGCCCACCCTGTTAATTGGGATACGCTCAGGGAGCTGGAGGTAGATCTCAGTCTCCACTAGGAGACTGAAGAGATCTATTGGCAGCAGAAGTAGAAGGTTCGTTGGCTCAAGAAAGGTTACCAAAATTCCTCGTATTTTCAAACAGTCACAAAGGCTCGAAGGAAGAGGAATTTTGTGGCTGGCCTCTTTGATGAGGTGGGGATTTGGATAATCGAGGAGAATGGGAAGGCAGGCATTGTTACTAATTTTTATTAGACTTTGATCACCTCTGAGAATCAGATTGGGAACATGACTGATCGAATGGCTGCCCTCCCGATTCAGAGGACAGTAGCGACTGTTAGTTAGTAAAATACAGTACGGGAAAGTTATGAATAAATATATACGGGTATTTTACTTTGTATCGAAGCTAACGTTACGTGTAATAGTATGTTAATAGTGAAAAATATATAAAAATAAATTATTGTTAAAATAAAAATATATATAAATAATAGTAAAGTTAACAATTTAATTCATTAAATACGGATATTAAACTTGTTATATTAGTTTTATACATATTTAGTACCAGAGCCATCAAATGAACGGGAAAAATGAAACGACTTGACAATAATACGAATACAGAAGTTTTAAACGGATAAAATACTAATGATTACATATAAGTGTATTAAACAGAGTAGCCGACTGCGATGAATGAGGTTTTGACGCCTGAAGTCCAACCTCTTGAGGTTCGCCAAATTGTCTTTTTGATTGGATCCACTCAAGCACCCGGATCGGATGCATTCACTGATAAATTTTTACGATTCTTTTTGAATATTATCGACGAGTCACTGGTTGAAGTTGTTTGCTCTTTCTTTAGAATGGAGCGAATGTTGCGGAGTTTCAACCATACGTGGCTTAATTTAATTCCCAAAGTAGTTAATGTGAAAATATGCGCCAATTGAGGCCCATTAGTCTGTGTCAGTTTGTATACAAGATCATTGCAAAAATTATTTCTGAACGTTTGGCACAATTTCTCGCCCAGATAATTTCAGCTGGGCAGAATGCGTTCATTTGACAAAGGAAAATTGTGGATAATTTCTTGATAGGACACAAGCTTATTCACTACCTTAAAATTAAGACCAAGGGTAAGAAGAGTTATATGGTTCTAAATGTTGATATGGAAAATGCCTATGAAAGTCAAATGGCCTTTCTTACTTATAGTTCTGGAAAAAATGGGTTTTGATCTGAGGTGGGTTTGGTGGATTAAGGAATGCTTCGCTTCATCATCCTTCTCAATTATTATGAATGGTACTCCTTCCGGATTCTTCCAACCTTCACGTGGATTACACCAAGGCAACCCTTTGTCTCTCCTTGTGTTTGTTATTTGTACGGAAGGGTTTGCGGCACTTATCCGGAAGGCCATTGTAGAGAAAAAGTAGGCAGGATTCAAGGTTGTGTTTGGGGAGTCAAGGGTTTGTCTCCCCTCCGCGCGTGTCACATCTTTTCCCTGCGGATGACTCATATTTATTTCTTCGGGGATCAGCTCAAGAATGTGATAATTTTATGGTCGTGCTTAGTGATTATGAGGAGTTGAGTGGTGAAAGGGTAAGTCTATAGTTTTCTTTAGAAGAAACATTTTGCCACCTCACCAGGACACTCTCGCTCAGATTCTGGGTGTAGGGACGGTGGGGATTCAAGATAAATAGTTTGGCCTCCCAACCCATACCGCTTAGTCTAAGATGGCAACGTTCCGCATTATGTAGGAAAAATTGCTTCAAGGACTGCAAGAATAGAGGAAGAGGACTTTATCGGCGGAATCAAAAGAGACGCTGATCAAGTTAGCTGCATGCTCGCTCCCCCTCCATGTGATGTCGTGTTTCAAACTCTTGTTTTCCCTTTGTTGTCTCTTTGATAAACATGTCGCAAAGTTTTGGTGGGAGTTGAGGGGGGGCGGTCCCGTATCCAGTGGATGTGCTGGCACATATGTGTCGTAGCAAGCATGAGGGAGGGATGGGTTTTCGTAGGTTCGAACACTTTAATCAGGCACTTCTGGCTAAAATTGGGTGGTGAATCCTTAATGAACCTCAATCTCTATTGGCCTAGGTCTATAAAGGTAAATATTTCCCTACGAGAACATTTCTCTACACTATTGTTCGGTCCCGTCCTTCATGGGGTTGGCAGTGTATACTGTATGGGCGACTCCTACTTCAGCAAGGAATACGTTTGCAGATAGGGAACGGTCAGACTGCTCCATTCAGAATTCCATTTGAGTACTGAGGTTGCATCTGCATAATGCCACCTATTACCCTCAGGTGATTCAGGAAGGAAATGATCCAAAAGTGGTTGATTTGTTATGGCCAGGGGAAGACAGGTGGAATGCGGAAGCTCTTAACCACTTATTTCAGCTATAGGTAGCATGTGCGATCAGAGCAATCTCATTACCCCATCATGATGTTGACGGATTCTTTAATTTAGCATGATACCAATAATGGGAACTTCACCATTAAATATGCCTATCACTTAGCTATCCAGCTGAGTCGTGGGCAAGGCAGATGGCGGCAGCCTGTGAGTTGGATGAATCGATCGAGCTGGATTCGAGTATTGGGGCTCCATGTTCCTCCGAAGTTGAAGGTCTTTCTTTGACAAATTATCCATCGCATCTTGCCAACCATGGAAGCTTTGATTGAGAAGGATGTTCAAGTTTTGGCTCGTTGCCCGGTGACTCGCTATGACACAACTCCTAACAAAGGCTAAGTGTAACCAATGAAAGGGACTGCAGTATAGTGGCTCAAGTAATAAATATCGAATCGATGGGTCTCTAGAGTTACTATTACTCAGCTTCAGTTCATTATCTAGCAAACTAGATTAAGATAGAACAACTAAAACTATTCTAGCAAACTACAGTTAAAGTTAATCTAATAACAGGTTGGGAACTCACTTAAGTATGATTCCCACTAGCCATTAGCCAGATTAATGGTTGATGATATCTAACCTGTTCCACTTTCATTCACAACGCGGAGAATCCTTAACTACACCTTGAGTCTCGACTAAAGGAACAAGGCCCTCTTGAGTCAATTGCCTAGAGGGACGTATCCTTCTCTAGAACAACCGATCAAGGCATTCTAAACTAGACTCCCTCTATCGAATGAGGTTCTCAATCGATACAAAGCAGAGAATCAACCCTCGACTAAAGAAATTGATCCAATACTATCAATCTATGGTCCCTTATTGACCTAATCAGGTATTCGCTCTCATAGGATCAAAGCAGAATCAATAATCTTGACTAAAGCAGAATTGAATCATGAAAACATGCATAGATTGAATATGAACTCAAGATTATCAAGAAAGAGTACTCATACAATCATTCAATCAAACAAACATAGCTAGGGTTCCTCAAAACCTATGTGAAGGGAAGTTATTCCATAGAGAAGAGAGAGACTGCAGTAAGAATCTTTAGATGATTAGTCTTCAAGTCCGGGCTTGTTCCTCGAGCTTCGAAGGCAAAGAAATCCCCCAATTCCACTCCAAGATTTCCCTCAAATCACCCTCTCTCTTTGGTTCGTCCCTTGAGTGTTTGGAACCAAAAACCCAGCTCTCTCCCTCCAAAAAGCACAAAACAGGCTTTTAAGAGCCTGCGTTCGCGAAACCCGGTCCAAACACCCAGTCGTGTATTTAGGGAATCGGTCGGGTATCAACAAAATGCTCCGGGTTACTTTTCTATGAAAAAGGGAAAATACTCGGTCGGGTATTTTTGGTTCACGACCGGGGGGCCTTCTGATGCTGCCAAAAATACCTTATCAGTGGTCAAAATACCCGGTAGGGTATTATGGTAGGGGATTTTGCAGTTCCGGGTCCCCTATCTTTGATTCTTCGTTTCTCCCTCATTCGGACTCCAAATCAGGTGTTGTTTGATCTCAATTACTCGTAGTCACGTCCTATTTCTTTTCATGACAAGCTTACATGATTCTATGGCCACAAATTGAGTTAAAAGTCCATTCTTCTTCAGGTCATGCCCGAGTTTCGTCCCCCGAGTTGCCAATTGATATCCGATTGACTTGAAACTTGCGCCTATGCTTCACTTTTATGTGCTAGGACCCGAAATGTGACAAAGGAACACAAGCTAGCATAAAATAGGCCAAAGAAGCGATAATGAAAGCTTAAACGATCAAGAAGCTGAGGGAAAAACATGTGCAAACCCAAGCAAACCTGACTCAAACCAATGCAACTCTCCGGACCTCTACAGCAACACGCAAACCCGATCGTTAGTAGAGGATTTCCTAGATCATTTAGCAGCTTACGAGGTCAACCGACTCACAAGACACCTCCTAGCTTCTTCGGCGAGAACTCTAGTCTCAAGTCAGGATCATGGCAAATAGTGATCAGAGGACAGATGAATCGTGGACAAAGAGACTCTAAAAAACATAAAGATCATGGAATCACTTTTTTAGGTGCTCTATTTTCTTCTTGAAGATGGTTGGAACCCCTATTTTCTC